AAAAATTGCTAAGTGCTTTACTATAATCACTATCTTGACAAAAAAAGAGCAAGAAAACAAAGAAGGTTGGGTAAGTAATTTATTTCTTGTTTTTCATATTTATTCTTTATTTATTATTATAATAGGTAACTAAAATTAAAAGTATGGACCTTTTTAAGTTATTTAAGACTAGAATAGGTAAATCAAGTAATAATAATAATATAATTAAAATTGTTCACGAATCACGCACGCGAGCAGCTCGTGGGTAATGTAATTCGATAGCATAACATGAGCTACACATTCCCCAAGTGATTTACAACTTATAATGGCATGGGTAGCAGTTAGACACAGTTCAAAGGGCAATAAAAAGTGCAATAAAACAATAAAATTTAATTATAAATAGATGTATAATGTTATGAACTTAGAGCTACTTAGGATAAACGAATGTAGTTTCATGTTACAATTTGAAGTCATAGTAGAAAGAAAAGAAGGTTAATTTAGGTTTATTTCGATTTATTTTTTTGGTAGTCACGAGGGCAGTCGAATTGACCAATCCCATTTTGAGATTAGGGTAGAGAAAATAACATATAAACTATAAGGATTTAGTGGAAAAAAAAACGTTTGGAATGCATTTAGGAGGTTTTAGGGATTACACAAAGGAAATTTGAGATTTTTGAGATGAAGAAAAGTATTTTTAATCTTAACATGAAAATTACTTTGCACACAGACTATTCAAAACAAATACTCAATATATTCATGGACAAAACTTTATCTTATTTTATTAAAAGTACTTCACTAAGAAATATGACTTTTTGTATGTGAACGACTTGTAATATTAACTGAAAGACTGACAAATTTCATGAAGATATACCCAATATATATATAGTTATAAGTAATAAATTTATGTCAACTTTAAATGAGTACAGAAGGTCATGTGACTCGGTCAAATTGACTGACCCGGTTTCGGAAGAGTTAATGACCAGGATGGATGTCTCCAATGCTTATCTGCATATTCCCATCTTAGAATGATCTCGTACTTATCTTAGGTTTGTCCATTGGGGGGGTGGTATACCAATTTTGCACCTCATCCTTTGGGCTGGCTTTGTCTCCATATGTTTCAGTCGGATGGTACGAGCTTTTGCTCTGCATTTTCATGTCCTAAGGCTGCGTTTCCATTTTTACATTGATGATTGGCTACTTCTGGCCCATTCCAAACAGGAGTCATCCTGTTATACTCTTCAGCTCTTTCTCGAAGCTGTTTAGGTAGGCTGGTTGATTAAATTGGAGAAGTCCTCTCTACGTCTTACCCAATACCTTGTACATTTGGATGTCTTTTCCAACACTCACCTCAGTCGGGCCTAACCCTCTCCTCTCAAATTCTGTTCTATGGAATTGTCAGTTCACCAGGCCCTGTCTGCTCCCTCATTTTCTGCACGTGAGGTTCTGTCACTTTTGGGGATGTGGTCTTCTATGTTTATGAATGCATCTATTTAGGGTTGGGGTGCATGGGTCAATCACCAGGAGGCTTTGGGTCTTTGGTATTTAGATGAACAATCTTTACATATCAACATCCTAGAGCTCTTAGTCATTTGTTGGGCTTTGGATCACTTTCTTCCCAGTGCCAAACATTGTCTGGTAATGATCCATTTTGACAATTCCAAGTTTTTAACAGTGGATGATTACCATAGTAGATTTTCCTATTCAGATGACTGTAGTGATTCTTTCTACTGTTTCTGATACTTAGCTGAAATTGAGAGTCCGTATTTAGTATTTATTACCACTTCATATAGCACTATGTCGTATAACTATTGCTGTTTTTAAATATTGGTGTTAAGGTAGCAGTTGCAAATGTTGTCGATAACTGGCAACTTGCGCAAAGTGTGTTGTATATTTTGCATGCATTATTTGTGTTGCCTTATTCTGACAAATACTTGTGCACAGCAGGCTGTTGAGGAACATACATGTGTCATGTAGAACTAATAAGGTAAGCACATTATTGCATCTGGTTACATTGCATTAATCTGTGTTGTATTATCTGAGAAGAAACATTATTCCATTCTGATGAGATTACTTTGTTGCTGCTCATCTTTTGTTGTTACACTGTGGCATTGTTGGAAGCTGGTCATTAAGTCTGTGATGATACAATCTTTGTCTTCAAGATGGTCCTTTGAGAACAACTTTACATGTTATTTGTTGTAGTTGCATACCAGTACATGTGTTTATTCTTTGTTGTACATTTTTTTATTTATTTTGAATAAGTTCAGCGTGGTGATTGGGTGGAAAAAAAGCCAATGTAGCAGTAAATTGTTGAAAAACATGTAACATTCAACTGAATGCATATGCACGTATGTAGCTTAAAATTTATACTTCATAAATGGACAAAAGAAAACTTAAGAAACAAGATTAGTAAAAATTGTTAACTTGAAATGGGGGAAAGGGATAGTCAGAAAAGCACAGAAGCAAATTGAATCAAAATCCAAAGATTATATCTTCAAGTCTACAACTAGGGACTCTAAAAAAGTAAATAAACAAGGCTGAAAATAGTGCCTACATTATTTTTTCATGCTACAGATCTTTATTTTAACCCCACTAAAATTGATAAGTATTGTAGACATGAAGTCAAAATTATTACAATTTGAAGTCATTTAACAAAGAAAAAAGGGTAATTTCGATCTTTTTGGGTGGTTACAAGGTCAGTCAAATCCACTGATCCCATTTTGAGATAGGATAGAGAAAATTATAGATAAGGTATAAAGTTTTACTGATAAAAAACGTTTGAAATGTATTTAGGAGGTTGTAGGGATTACACAAAGGAAATTTCAGATTTTTGAGACGAGGAATAGTATTTTTCATCTTAACATGAAAATTAATTTGCATGCAGACTATTCAAAACAAATACTCAGTATATTCATGGACAAATCTTTATTTTAGTTTATTAGAAATTCTTTATTAAAAAAATTATTTTTTAGTATGTGAAAGACTTGTAATGTCAACTGAAAGCCAAATTTTGTGAATATATATACACACTATATTGAAAGTTAGAAGTATTAAATCTATAAAGACTTTAAAAGAGTACAAAGATTGTCACATGGTTAGTCAAGTTGATCAACCCTGTGTTGTGAGAGTTTAATTATATTTTGAACATAACTCAGTAACATTTGCAGAAAGGAGTTTAAGAATGGCATTAATACTTAGTTTTGATGATGCAACTTTAATACAGATTCATTATTCCTAAAATATGACAAGGAAAGATTTTGAATGTTCTTAGAGGATTTTTCAAAGGAACTTTGTATACTATTTTGATGTTGTGTTTATGTATTTAATATATCTTTTAGGAAGAGGCCAAAATATATATAAAAATCTTATAGTATTAATCCAAAGGTTATAATTTGTATATCTTTATAAGACTATTGGTTAATGTGTTTCAAATAAATTAATTACCTGTATTAATGTATGATATTTAGGCACGCCAAGATTTGAGTGGCTCGTATAAAGAAGTATGTGCTCCAGTATTTGAGCGTGCTCATTTTTTGTTCTTTGAGCTTCGACCAGCAAATAGTTCAGAAGTTCGTGCATTTTCCAAGCTTAAGATCCTAAATACAGCCCCTAAATGGAGATCTATTACTCATCGCCTGATTCGAGATCAGAGGAGGAATAAAGGTACCTCATGCTCTTACTGATTTTATTAGAGAAAGGAATGTTTTATGAACATATCAAATATAATATGTGAAGTCAGTTTTATTTAAACTATATCATAACTATAGTTAATCATACATTAATAATTCTAAAATGATAAAAACCCAATATCCTTAGCACATTTGTTGGGTGGACCTTTCTTCTTCATGGGCAAACTGTTTGCCCGTGAAGAAGTAAGATCCACCCAACAAAAGTGCTCAGGTTATAGGGTTTTTATCATTTTATAATGAGACTTCTTGAACCTATGTGTTTTTGTCTGTGTGGAGGTTATCTGCTATTAGATGCTGGGCAGTCACAAAATAAAAGCCTAATAAGCCAAAGGGTTTTAAAAAGTAGACCTTCTAGGAGTGAAATGGAAATGAGTAGGAAGTTTACATTTACATTTGTTTTCAAAATTCATTAAAGTTTTGAAAAAAACACACCTTAAAATATGCATTTAAAACTTTTTTTTATGTGATAAATATTTCATTTATGTATAATTTTCAATTAAGTTATTAAATTTTGTCAGGTACACATACTCAGGGATGTGTCATAACTTAAAATGGAATATCTGAATTTTTTTGGCATTATGCCTTTATTAGCCAAGTAACTAGTTGTAGTTAATTGTTCAATAAATGTGTGTTTAGTTGAAAGCACATTGATGTTTTAGACTATTAAAATTACTTCTTTCAGGTAAAGTTTAAAATGCATAGGAAGTTAAATTGCATCCTTTCCTAAAATATTTAATGCCAGGTATTATGAAGCACAAATTCTCTTTGACTAATCGGAAAATGTAAAATAAAGTATTATTATATTTAATTAGGATGAATAAGACAGTATGATGCTGTATTCATTAAATTAGAAAATGTAAAACAGAGATACAGTACTGTTGTTTAGGCTAATTTAAACTACTGAGGTACCTTTAAAATAGATGCTGTGTTTGTTAGATAAATAAATATTTTTTGAAATATAGTTTAAGTATTTTTGATATATCATACACATGTACACATTATAAATTATTTCCATGCTTTTCTTTTTGTATATATTATTCAGTTGAGTTATTCATCATTACTGCTTTATCAATTTTTTATAGAAAGCTTGTGGTATTTTAACTTTTTTCTTAATATTTGTCCTATTAGAGAAGATTTTTTTTTAATTTAATACAGAAAATTGTAAAATAAGTTAATCACTGTTATGTGTTGTGATAGAAAGAAGTAAAACTGGACTGAATTGAACTTAATTCTAAATATCTAAGGTATTCAGAAAATGTTGAATAGCTTCATTTCTGCTGTTAGTCTGCGGCTGTTTTTTGTTATAGTTTTATGTCAAAAAGACATAAAAATTTAAATTTAAAAATTATTTTTAGTGTGGGTTTGGTTCAGAGATATCAGTGTAAAGATGTGATTATACAAAAATTCTGTATTATTGTTATATATCAGATATGAATAATAAAATCAGTGAAGACCCAAATGAAGTAAAAATGGAGCAAACCAAAAATAGCCAGGAAGATGGAGAAACTAAAACCAAAAAGGTATTGTTTTGAATTTTCTTGTGTTATACTATAGATCTTGATCAGTTTGTACTTTTGTTGAAAATACATTAGTAGTTAATATTGATCAGCAGATTTTGAAATTTACAAGAAAAAGAAAAAGAAGTACATGAAATCTAAGGTTTTTGTACATTGAAACAATGAAAATGTGGAGCTTGAAATACATATAAGTGGAGATATATTTTTACCACAGATCTCTATTAAAATATGTGGTTATAAACTTTTAGAAATTCAGGATTGGAAAGAAGGAAGCAATTGATTGAAAGAAATTGGTAGGCAAGGTGTTATCTAATACATCTCGCATTTACAATTGATGGATAAAAAAATAGATTAATTTTTTATTTTTCTTACCTAGGCTGTTGAAACATTGACTATGACTTCACTAACAGATGAAGTCAAAAATAAGTCTCTTTCTGATACGGGAACTTGGGACAAGCTTATTATAGAAGACCAAGATGCTATAATGAACCAGTTGGTTGATTTTGTTCTTCAGGATGAGATGGTGATTGTAGAATCAATAAGAAAAGCCTTATACTCTCAAGTATGCATTTTTATCAGTCAAAAACATCTATATAATACACTGTTAAGATACAAAGAAGCTGTATTTCATACTGAGATGGACTTTTAGAGTTATAGTTATATATAAATTATAGTTACATAATTTGTTGCAAATATTATAAGCAACAATTTTGATTGTCATTTACTGTGATAATATATGTATTATCATGACTGTAAGTTGTATGTATTCTAAAATGTATTTATATTTGTAAAAATATGAATAGAATGAAGACATTATATTGTTCCTGACTCTTTGAAAATAGTTTTATATTACACTATGCTTCATTTTTTTTCTTGCAATAAATCATTCTGGCTGCATTTTAAACTGATATTTTTTATTTTTTAGTTGGCTAGTAGCTTTGTGCTGTTTGTACACTGTAGGTACTGATGGTATGAGATGTTGATGAAGAAATTAAATTGAATGGTACCACTTGGAAAATAACAGTTCATCTTCATAGCACTGAAGGAAGTCATGTCTTACTAATTAGTACACTTATGATGTACAGTCCCACTTACTGGTGGTACTTGTATCATATAACTTTAGTACATGTATATACATTTTTAATTAAAAGTTAAATGTAGCCTTCAACATACATTCAGTGAAAATGTGATTTATTGCAGGTATTTTACAGAAATTTTCAAACAAAACATAAATAATTTCCAGTATTGAAAATATAGCAATTTTTCTTTTTTCTGTGCTACTCTAAAAGTGATATTATATTGTGTTTTTTTATATTTATTTATATAATTTATAATTACGACTTAATAGGTACACAGGGCAAAAATTCGACAAAAAGGACTTGAATCAATACTAAATCTGTTAGAAAGAGATCACCTTATTCCATCAGTAAAGTATGCATTACTGAATGGTTGGCAAGGTATCATATCAGCTGGATTAATTAAAAGGTATGTTGTAAAAACTTTTTTGTTTCCTGTAATTTCCAAAAAATTTAATAATTTTATATTTTTATATACACGTTACAGCCATTGTGTTAGACCTGTTGTACATTATAATGTTTTTGACACTGGTCTGTATTTTGAGAGACATGAAAGGGAAAAAGTATAGCAACAGTATATTTATTAGGTTAGTTTACTTTCTGTCACCTTCTTTATTCTAAATGTATTCCCCTCAACATGGATTCCTGTACGTGGTGAGGGGACCTCCCAGGGAAGGTTCTGTATTTTCAGTTACTCCCTCTGGGATCCAAACATCCACCCACGTGTTTGCCATGCATGGCGACCCGTGAAGGGGAGGAGAGGATCCTGGTGGTTGAGTGGTGTCTGTGACACTGCAACACACCACTTTGGCCTTGAATTCCTGTAGACGGGTGGCCTTGGGGTGGCTCCCCGAGGGTCAATCTGTTGGTCCCATCGGGCTAGGGTCAACTGAGTACCAGTGTTGGGCATTCTCAAAGGGTGTTGTGGACATCATGTCTGATGCTAGTGTTTGGGTATAGTACTCACAAAACCCTGGCATTGCTGCAGTGTCCTTGTTTGACATTGTAGTGTGTCCCCTCGTAGGACTCCATGGCGAGTGGGGACAGTGGGCACTGAGTTTTTCTCTTTTACTATGGATCCCCCCAAATCCAAAAAAATAAAATTGAAAAACTCTGCTAATTGGTAAATGACCATGCCTTGAAGACTCTGAACAGAGTATCTACTACAAAGTACACCTGTACCTTGCTTCCTGATTCTGCATTCTCTGTCTGATAAATCTTTAGGGCAAATGTCTCCCTTTTTTTATACAGAAGGAATTAGACGGGCTTGCTGGCTCTCCAAAGTCAGTTTAGAAGCTCCATTCTGGAGACATATTGGTGAAAACATCCACAGCTAAGCACAGTGAACTCCTCTTGAATTCAAAGCCCATTGGGGATATACCCATTGAGGTTACCCCTCATGCTTCTTTGAATTCCTCACAAGGTTTTATTGTCGAGAGGGACTTGAAGTCTATCCCCGAGTCAGAGATCCTTGCTTGTTTCTCCAGCCAAGGAGTTTCAGCAGTTCGAAGAATCTCCACACATCAAGATGGTATTATGGTGCCGACCTCTGTTCTGATTTTGACATTTTCATCGCCACGTCCACCTGCCACTATTAAGGTGGGTTATTTGAATTTTAAGGTAGAGCCATATATTCCCAACCCTCTCTGATGTTTCTAGTGCCAGCGGTTCGGTCATTTGAAGACATCTTGTTGTGGTTCTGCAAGTGTGCTTGTTGTGGTGGCAAGGACCACGATGCTTACGAGTGCAAACTGGACCCTCACTGTTTTAATTGTAGTGGTTCCCACCCCTATTACTTTAGGTTTTGACCTAAGTGGGTAGAGGAGAAAGAGGTACAGCATTTGAAGACTGTTAACAACATTTCTTATCCTGAGGCTCGGAAGCTATTGTTCCCAACTCCATCTCGGACATATGTCACTGCACTACACTCCACTGCTATGGTTGGGGTGCAGACGGACCTTTCTGTGCCTCCAACCAAGTCTTTTTCATGCCATGTGAGGGGTCTTCTGCCCTCCATCGATAACAGAGTTGATCAGTCTATGTCTTCTCCAATCTCTGTCCCCACTATTCCTTCCAGTGACTACCTGGGTCCACTCTGGCATTGGCCTCCGGTGTCCACTTGGGTTCTTCTTTGGCTCCTAGATGCAGGACGATCATCCGATCACATCCTCAGTCATTGGATTCCCAGTCTGATGACAGAGATCTGCCTGCTCGATCAATGGAGGTTGATTGACCTTCTTCTAGTAAAGAAAAATGGTGTGGTCATAAACCAAAAGGTTTTACACCATGTTCTCCTCCACCTACATAAAAATGGCCATGTTGATACAGTGGAACTGTCGAGGTTTTCGTTCTTATCTCCATGACAATAAGGCCTTGATCGACTCCTATCATCTCATGTGTCTCTCCTTACAGGAAATATTTCTGAAACCTGCCGATACAGTCACTTTTCAGCAGTTTTCTTTGTACCGGAATGACAGGTTGTGTGATGGATGGGTGCACGGAGGGGTGGTACTGCTGGTCGACAAGCATGTGCCCTCCTTATCTGTGTCCCTCAATACACTCTTGGAGGCCATAGCCATCTGTGTTTCCTTGGGTCGTACCATCACTGTTTGTTCTCTCTACCTGTCTCCTGGGGAGACTTATTATCAGTCGGATCTTGATGCTCTCGTTGACCAGTTGCCATCTCCCTTTTTACTTCTGGGAGACTTTAATGGACACAACCTCCTCTGGGGTGGTGCTGATATTGATGGGAGGGGTTGTTCCATAGAGCATATGCTCTCGGATCACAACTTTTCTCTCTTCAATACTGGAACATATACTTATTTTCATGCACCTAGTCAGTCTTTTACTGCCATTGATCTTTCGATTGGCTCCCCTTCACTTTTCACTCGCTTTTCTTGGATGGTTGACAGTGACCCACGTGGCAGTGATCATTTTCCTATCATTATGAGAGAGGTTGGCCATGGTCGATGCCACCCGACTCGAGTGACACAGTGGAAGTTGGACCAAGCTGACTGGCCCTCTTTCACCTCTCTCTGAACTTGATCATGCCATTGTCTGTCTGCCATCAATAGACGACTGTGTACTTGCAGTGACTGACTGTATCATCCAGGCAGCTGCTCACTTTATTCCTAAGACCTTGACGTGTTTTCCACGGTATCCTCGTCCATGGTGGAGTCCTGCCTGCCAGGAGGCTTAAAAACGGGCCTGGGATACCTTCCGACAGTATTCCTCACTTTCTAACCACATTGTTTATCAGTGGACCCATGCCCATGCTTGGCAGGTTTGAAGTCAAAGCCAAAAGGAGTCTTGGATTAAGTTCACTACTAGCATCTCTTCTACCACCAGTTCCAAAACTATATGGGATAAGATTCGGAAAGTTACTGGTAGGTGTGCTTCCCACCCCCTTTCCATCTTGCTCTCCAATAGCCAGGAAGTTGCTGATGTACAGAGCATTGCTGATGCTCTCAGCCACAGCTTTTCTCGTGCATCTAGCATCTTCCTCCAACTGTTGCAAATGGGTTCTATGTCGACGACTTCCACATCTCGTGTCGGTCGTCGAACATGAGGTTTATTGAGCGGCAGCTTCAGACTGCCCTCAATAGCTTGTTGATGTGGGCCACTGCAAAAGATTTTACACTTTCTTTTTCCAAAACCATTTGCATGAATTTTGGCCACCAATGGGGTCTCCACCCCGATCTCGAGCTCCGTCTCTGCGATGTTGTTATTTGTGTGGTCTCTGAGGCAAAGTTCTTGGGCTTATCTTTACCATAAGCTTACCTTCATTCCATACATCTAGCAGCTACGTGTCAAGTGTGCAAGGGCTATGAACAACCTTCTCTGTCCTCTCTTCCACCTCTTGGGGAGAGGATCGATGTTCTATGCTCAGGATCTATCGTGCCCTGATTCAATCCAAACTGGACTATGGGTCTTTGGTCTATGGTTCTGCCATAACCTCGGACTTGAAGATGCTGGACCTCGTTCACCATCTGGGGCTTTTCGCACTTCTCCAGTCCAAAGTTTGTACAATGAATCCCATGAACCTTCTCTTCACCTCCGTTGTTTGCAACTTTCTGTACAATATGCTACCAAGCTTTGATCCTTACCATGGCATCCCACCTGGGATTGTGTCTTTCTTCCTTGGTGGGCCATGCTCTTTCAGAACAGACAGTCTGCAATTTCTCCCTTTGGCACAATTGGGTCTGGCATTGGATGACATTGCTGTTCCCAATGATTAGCCCATTCTGCTTTGGCTTATTACCATCCCTGCCTGTGACCTTTCCTTGAGTCATCTGAGGAAGACTGATACTCCCAATTGGAAGTACCATCTTCTTTTTGCTGAACATCTTTTGAGCTATTCTTCTCTTCCTATTTACATGGATGATTCGAAATTGGGTGACTCTGTAGGCTCTGCCATGGTTTGCTGTAGCTCGGTAGTTGCTCACAGGATCCCCCTCTACAGATTCTGTGTTCACTGCCGAATTGTATGCTATTTCTCTTGCCCTGGATTATGTAAAAGCTATGCAGTACAATGATTGTACTATTTACACTGATTCTCTTAGCTCTTTTACTGGCCCTGGAATCACTTAATGTTAGTTCTCACCCTGTTCTTGTCAATATTCAACAACGACTGGCCCATTTTTCTCTATCTTCCATTTCCATCCAGTTTTTCTGGATACCTGGCCACGTCGGTATTCACGGGAACGAACTTTCTGACTGGCGCTGTCACGGTTGTACCTGTCCCATACATGGACTACAGTCCTGTCTTCAAGGCGCGGCTTCATGCCAGTTGGCAGTCAATTTGGGGTGAGCAACGTCAAAACAAGCTTTTTCAGATCAAACCTTCTGTTGCTCTTTGGCTGTCTTGCTTCTATAAGGATCGGAAGGCGGAAGTTTTCCTGGCAAGGCTACGCATTAGTCACAGTTATTTTAACTCATTGTTTTCTTTTGTCTGGTATTAATCCACTGATGTTTAGCCTTTTTGACACTCAAGTCACAATAGCCCACATTTTACTGTCATGCCGTTGTTACAACAGTGAGTGGCTGCACTATTTTCGATACGTGTTTTGTCAGGGTTTACCCCTCATGTTTGGACAGTGTCATTGGAGATGGTGACACTGTCCAATTGATTGTATTTTTAATTTTTTATGAACAATTGGCCTTTTTAATTATATATAAATCTTTTACCCAAATTTTGGACATACTTTGGTTTTAACTCACTGTATTTTTACATTTTACTACAATTTACTTTTACTGTTTTTACCAGTTGTTTGGTACAGATAGCCTAGTTGCTTTGCGCCATAAAACACCAAACAAACATCTAAATGTATTTCTAAGTTTGAATTTGCTGTCATTAGTTGTTTATTAATAGATCTGCAAAAGAAAAACATACATTGTATTTAAAAGTTTATTTGTGTGTGTGTTTTATTTTACTTGTTTTTATCTTAATTCAATAAGACAAAAAGTCAATTATATGTAATCATTGCTTCAGATAAGTGGTGTATCTGTGTAAATATGAATATTTTTACATAAAACCATTAGAAATACAAATTTTGCATACCAAATGCTCATACTATTTGCTGGTCTGTATGTCTTTCTTGTAAATACGTGTATATGCCAGTTTGAAACCTTTATTGGTAGTAAAACAATGAAAAAGCACGAGAGATCATTCTTATGTAAACTGATTGATTTGTAGGACTGATCCTACAATTGTTTGCAATATACCACTGTATGGAGGGCTACTGTAACCATTTTATTTGCTCTTCCAAATAGTACTGAAGAGCTGTGACTTGACAAGACTTTAGTCTGCTGTAAAGAAAGTAGTGAATCAAATAATAGATTAAGCCTGTATGTCATTCATTGATTCTTTCTTTTCTTCACTGAAATTACAAGTTTAGTGAGGAAAAATAAAATTCAGTGGTTACTGGCTGGCAATTACTTGTAGTTCAGGGTTACTGTTGAACTGAAAATTATACGAGTATAATTTTATCAATTGATATCAATAAAGCTCTTATTGTATTGAATTGGTTGGTCCTTAAAAGAATGTTAATACAGAAATAAGAACAGAAAATGCCTAGTAAACGCAGCAAAGTAGTGACAAAATATCAGATGTTCAACAGTAAAAAAAGTCACTGAAAACACACAAGTTTTCAGCATTGCAGTTTTTGAGGAGTAAAATACTTATTTTGTCAAAATCTTATTTGGAGCACTGACATGTCATAAAAATGTATTGCTATTGTGCTTCATTAATTTGTGTTAGTTCTTCATAGGATATTGCCAGTTGAGTTTTTATATACATTTGCCAGTTGTAGTAAGTTAAAGCTCTTTTTCTTTCTTTTACCATAAACAACTTTTTTGTTTGATAAATCAAAATAGAATAATGAAAATCACTAATGCTATTCTAAAATCTAAAACTCTTTCATTGCTGTTTAAACCAATCTTTCATTCACTTTTTTTTAATGTAAGGAACATTTCCACACAGTTTTAACTTGATTAAAGTTTGCAATCTCTTTAGATATTTTATAAATGTGTTTTTGATTTTTGAAAAGGTTAGATATAATCTTGCAGCTTTCACTTTCACAATTTTGCTTTAAAAGATCTTTAATATCCACTATATTTACATTTTTTAAGAGTTACACTTTTTTCAGAATTTCATTTAGGTATGTTTAGAAAAATCCTCTTTTTGTGTCATCTAATTTTAGGTTATATTTATGTAGATACCTAACTGAGAATAAAGAATTTGAAAAGGTTTACAAAACACCAAATCTATGCCCCAGCCCTCCTCCAATGGCTCACCATTAAGTCTGAAGACTTGTAAGTCTTAAAAACTGGGTGTCAGTACCCGTGGTGGGCACAGCACAGACAGTCCATTTTGCAGCTTTGAGCTTAACAACAAACAAACACATTAAGAAAATATTGAAAAATATAGAATAAGAAAATGGGGATGGATACATTTTTTTTTACTTTAATTTGTGTAATTTTCATCAGAATAGTATTTATTATAGATATTGGGCACATACATTGTGAAATAAAAGTGAGCTGATGTGTTTGTTTAGAATCAGTACCATTATTTTGCTGGATCTAATAAACGTAAAAGAACTTTCAATGTTAGAACTTGGCACTTTAATGATATTTTTCATTTGCTATTTATTTCTGACTTATTTTTAATAAGTGAACAAACCATTAATTACTAAATACTATTAATTATTGTGTCATATCTTATTATCAGTCATATCTTGTTTATAATATGTGATCTTAGTTCTGGCTTTTCATTACACATGTTTACAACTCTGTACAAGGTGTGGTTAACCATGGTCGATTGCAAAAGGAAGGATTGTATCAGTTTTAACAAAATAGCAACTGTCAGCTGAATTTCTGGTCATAATTATTATAGAATTTGAGTTTACTTTTCAGGTTATTATTATAATGCCTTCTAAAAATTATCTGTTAAAATATGCAACAAATTGTGAATTTTGAGCCATGTTGAAGAGACAAGAAGATAATGTAAATAATTATCCTTTTTTCATCAGAATCAATTATAATGATGAAGATGTTGAATCCTATATTAAGTACTGGATCTTTACTAAATTTTCCTTGATATTTGTGTTTATAGTACTGAATTGTGTATTGTTTATTTTATTCTTTATTTGTTCTTACATTTATAAAACGTTTATGCTAAATAGCCAAAAGGAAAACCAGCTAAACTAACATGTTAATCTGTAGATTGGTAATTCTTACATCATAATAAGGCTGATAATATTTTTTATCAAAACATTCTCTTATTTTCCTTATATGGATTTCCTTTAAGAAGAATATAATAACATTTCAACCTCACATTTTGCATGTCACTGCTAATGATGTTTAATGTGAGAATAGTTTATTAGGTTGACTAGGTTTACAGCATGCAAAGCCTCAGTCAAAATGCTGTTTATGTCAGTCATCTATGAAATGTCAGTTCTTAGCATAATTCATGTACTTTTTGTTTTTGTAAATTATAGACTGTATCTATAAGTAAACCTTTATTTTTCTTCAGCCAGTTGACCCCACACTGTCTGGAGAATGTAAACTGCATTCCACCTTATGATCGAGTCATGTTAGAACTTGCTTCAGCAGCTTTGTTATCCCGAATAACTACCAAGTTTCGATCCTTAGTACTTCAAGCTGAAACACAGTGCCTACAGTCAAGGATATCAAGCCAACATTCTTCTTGTGGGGCTGTGAGTGGAGCTATCAATAAACATGCAAGAAACAAAACTGCTCTCAACAGGGAGATAGAAATGGGACTTACTAGTATCTCTCTTATGAAATCTACTGTTTGGCCTTCTGCACGATTTTTGTTATCAACTCTGTGTATGTTAACTGCAGATCATCATGCTCCAGAGATCAGCCTGCTTTTAAATTCTGGAGCCTTAGCTCTCACCCAGACATTATTAAGACTACTGGGTTAGTATCTTGGTAATTTTGTATTAGTTTTGGTGGGAATTGTCATGTTTCTCGGTCTTGTATATCTCATTTAAAGTCAGAGTATATTAGAAGACATGCCATGTGGTTGAAATTTTAAGGTGTAGCCATTGGTATAAGATAGAATTTAAAATTTGTGAAAAAAAAAAAAAATTTTCTAGGCTTCATTAGTTTGAATTGTGCTTTTAAATAAATAATTTGTTCCTCTTTATTACTTTTCTAACCATGAATAAGAATAAGATGTATTTTAGGTCCAGATCCAAATGGTGTTCCAGAAGACAAGAACTCTACTTTATGTGCTGTTCTTGAAGAAACTGTAAAACGACCAAAACCACCACCACCACCTATGTCAGGACCAGAGTTAGCTTCTATGATGAAAATAGGTACGCGTGTGGTGCGGGGAATTGATTGGAAGTGGGGAGACCAGGTGGGTCATTATTTTCTCTGTCAGTCATTAGTTCTTGTTGCTGTTAAAACAGCTTTGGTTATTTTACTGTTTTGATATTGCCATGTTTCATACAATTATCTTTTGTTTTTAAAATATTTAGTGTTTATGCTGCTGTACTTGAGATGGGCTTGTCATTAATTGTTGCACGCCTAGCATACCTAAAAATTATCTTTAAGGAGATAGATTTGTCAGTATGTCCTAAACTTTAAAAATATGGTTACATTTTACTGCATAGTACCAAAAGGTTTGTCATTAACTCCTGATAAACACAAATGGTAATAATTTTCTGTATTATGAAGACACATTTTTCGTAAGATCTTGAAAATATACTCCAATATAACTTGAAATGCATACTTTGTTTTTATTTGCAGTTACATTGATCTTCTTGAGGGGGGGAATGGAACCTTACATATGTTAAACTGAAAATACTTGAACAAATGTTATTTTTTTGTAACTCTAAAAACTATGTAAAATTTGTAATTTCTCTACACTGTTACAAATATGTAATGATAGGATAACCTTTCATTATTATTTTTGATTTTTTAAGTGTTTAATACCATAATTAGTATTAATGTTTCATCACTTGGATTTGTATTCACATTCCTGGAAGGTATTAATTAATAGATGCCTTAAATGTGTGTGAGCAAAAATAGTTTATTTGCCTGTCCAAAATTTCTCTTCTTGTTCTTTTTGAAATGTATTTTGAATATTTTAGTTTCAGAATTATGATGAACGTATTGGAATAGAAAATGTTCTGTGCTTGAAAAGTGTTAAAGAATAATTATTATTTACAAGAATATTTAAAAGTTTAAACATTTTAAGTCATTGTTTTGTATTCTGAGTTCTTTGTACTAAATGCTTTGTAAAACAGCTTCAAAAATATTCAAATTACTTGTTTATAATTCAGCTTTTGGTTAATGTCACTGAAAATGGAAGAAATATGTATTTGTTGCTTTTGATATAATTTAGAGAATCTCACATGTGCCAATGAATGTTGTGTTTGGTGCATTGCATTATATATTTCTGTTGACATATTCCATGGGTTTGCTGTGAAGTCAGGTAGATTGATGTACACAGCATGGTCACAAGTAAATACACACCACCTTTTCAGAAAAAATGAAATATTTCAGTCATATTCACATGAATTGATATATTTATAATTTAATTAATATCTAGTAGATCTTCCTTTTGCTTCGTGGAGTTCGTTGATCCTTTGGGCATTGTGAGAATCATCTCGTCAATTTTAGATTGTGGGATTTTCGCCCACTCTTGCTTCAAAACTTGGAGTAGATCGCTCTTTGAAGTTGGTTCTTTTGGTTGTTTTTTGACTTGCCGGTTCGGGTTTCGTGGACAAGAACACAACGTTGTTCCAGGAGGATGGAGCACCGTGTCACACTGCTAGAAACACCCAAAAGTGGCAGGAAGAAAATGGTATCCAGAAGTTGCCCTGGCCAAGCCAATCTCCTGACATGAACCCCATCGAAAACCTCTGGGCCATACTCAAGAATAAAGCGCCAAGAGTCCTTCCTCCAATATTTCGATGTATTTAGCAAAATTTATGTTGCCAAACGCACTCCACTAAGCTCGATCTCCCACCAACCCAAACAGCTCCCCAAACCATCACGCTGAAACCACCATGCTTCACAGTTGGCTGCAATCTGTTGAGCCAAAACTCTTGGTGAGGCATTCTCCAGACCCATATCCTTCCACTGTCCGAAAATTGAGCGAATCTTAATTCGTCTGAGAACAATACGATCTTCCAAAAGTCCAGAGGCTTGGTCATCATATCATTTGCCCACTTCTTTCGTCTGACTATGTTGGCAGGTCTTAATAAGGGCTTCCGTCTAGCTGCTCTGCAATGATAACCCAATCTGTGGAGAATCCGTTGAACAGATTTCAGACTCATCCCACCAACTTTGACCACTTCTGCAGTCGTTAATCTGGGATCCATTTCGATGCTCCTCTTGACAGCCCTCTTTGTCCTCTCTGATGGACCAGGACGACCCGGACGCTGCTCAGTTGTTTCCTTGTCGTGTTTCCTGAACTGCGCGATGATTCTGTTGACTGTCGAAAGTGGAATTCCTAAATTCTGCAAAATTATTCCACTATCTGCTTGACCAACTACCCTTCCTCTTAAAAAAATCTGACAATTCGAGAGAACCTTGAGTTCTAGGCATGTTGTAGCACAAGATAATTAGTGTGAGGACCATTTTCATTTGTATAGTGCTCTTTGAACACAAATTAGTTAGAATAAATCACTAAAATGACGAAAAATTAGGTGTCTATTTACTTGTGACCAGTCAGTGTATGTTTTGGTTATTGTTTTAAAATTTTCTTTTATAGGATGGTCCTGCTCCTGCAGAGGGTCGTGTAATTGGTGAACTGGGTGAAGATGGCTGGATACGTGTCCAGTGGGACAATGGTTCAACAAATTCATACAGAATGGGTAGAGAGGGAAAGTATGACTTAAAGCTTGCTGATCCTCCTTCCCAGCCAGAATCTGACACCAGTTCTGATGCTGAGGATGAGGAAGGTAAACTATTTTGGAAGTATTTGTAATATTAATTATTACTTTAATATACAAATTATTTATAGGTAAATAAATTGAAGCAATAAGACTCTTTTATGATAATTTCTTGGTAACTTATTTTAGTAGTTAGAATATAAATGGTGTGAAATTTTTACTATTTTTCACACATTAGTTTAATGATTAAGTCACTATTTAGTGATATTTACATTTGTATAGACATAAGCAATACACACACAAGAATAAAGACAATGAGTAAAAGGCAAATAGATGGTGAAGTTATTAATGGTACTAAACACTGATCACAGAAAACATAAAAGTAAAATGAATAAGTTGTGCAATGCACTTATATTTTGTTTGTGAGCCCTTTGCTTTATACAAAGCATTACACCATGTTTTCATGTTGCCACACAGTTTATTAACATAAGATTGTGAAATATTATTCCAATTGTCCAATTAAACCAAGTTATTTGGTAGCTTTTTGATTCATGTAGCTTTTATATAAGCCCATACAATAATGTTCCTATAGGGGTGTGCCATGTATCCCCCCCCCCCTTCCAATTAAAGTAAAAAAAAAGAATGTCATGATGATTTTAGCCTACCAACAGGTGGTTTATTAGTATGATTCCTTGCAATGCGAAGCATATTTTTGAACCCAACTCTTGAAAGTTTAGCATTGAAAGTATACGAGAGGATTTTCAAGTCATTTTTAGGTGCATTTCTCTATTCCAGATGACATAAAAGTGCAGAGCTTCTAGTGGGTGTTGACCCTTGACCCCACACTGTAGATGCTCATGCTTGCATTGGTGTCTTTGATGCCATCACTCCAAAACTTTGCCCCCCTCCCCAACACTAATTCTGGATCTGTCAATGTTCTACCTTGACCATTTTATTATTAACAGTACTAGTTTTTTCATACCCTGTTAAGTCTTGCATATAGCTCCTATGAAACATCGAGTCTTGCTGTAATTTTTCACGTGGCATGCCCTTGATAAACTAAAACTTTCCATTTCTGTGGCATATCAACTCTGGGATCCATAAATGGATTCACGCTACCACTATTAGTAGGCATAGTATGACTCATAGTGCTTTTATAGGCTTTATAATAGCATGGAACTTTCTCATTGGTTGAATGACAACAAACCACAGTGTAAACTATGAACATGTGACTGTAACTTGATGCTGTTTGTTTTCACACATTAAAGAGTGTGGCATTCTTTTAATATTGCCTTTTATACTCATTTTTTTTCATCACCATTTCTGTAACTGTTCTCATTACTGTATGTAACAAGCAAATTGAATGTTTTTCAACATAAACATATCTCTGAAGAAATGAAGCACATAATACAATTGTGAAAGATATGTAACATGCAAAGGAAAACCTGTGCAGAATATTTGGTTAGTGATCGACAATGATATTTTGATCTAATATTTTTGGAGCTTTGTCTTTAATTGTTGAAGTGCTTATTAATAAGGTACTTTTTCATATTTGTTGAATCACAGTTTGTTTTTTTTAAGTGACAGTTGCTCCTGCATCTTCTGGACAGCCACATCAGATGCTTCATCAGTCTTGTTTGTTATTGCTTCGTACCCTCTCTGTCTCTACTGGACTTCATGGTGACTCGACTCAACAGGAGGCTGTTAATACACTCTCTGGGCTACTCAGGTCCCTTGTTGTAGCTGGTTATAAGCAGATACCAGGTAGTTCTAAAGGTTGAAAAAAACCTTAACACTTATCAGGTTACACAGATACTTGAAAGTTTTTAAATCAGTTGAAGTGGCATTTAGTAGTGATATTTATGGTACAGATATTAGTTTCTATCACATTTTAAGGCTATAGATTAAGTTATATATTTTTGTGTCAAAGTCTAAAAAATTTGTTTTCAGAATTGTACTGTTGTACTTACAGTTTTGTACATTACTATATTTAAAGGCTTAACCATCAGAAACTGTTAATTTGCATTTTATCTAAAAATCTAAACTTCTTTTATTATTTACTCATTGTTTTGTTAGAACTACGTTTTCTTAGAAATTTTTATTTTTATCTGTTTTATATTTTGTTAGCCTCAGTTGTATGTGTTAGCAATTTTCAATCACATTTACATACTTAAAGTTGAAATTTTTATTTTTCCTTTTAATAATCTTCCATATATTTTGTGAGTTGATAGCTTTTAGTTTTAAATTTTTCAATAAGATTGACACTATAAGTTGTAAGCTGAACTGACAACATTGATCTTGGGCTTCAGTTTATATATCAGCAGTCTCCTTAATAGAGGCTTTGTTCATCATTTGCTGTAGCCAAGATATTAAACAAATTACAGTGGATGGGTACATCACATTCACCTAGAGGTGTATAACTATGTTGGCATTAAATAATGATCTAGCATTAGCATGTTTTCTTTTATATGAGTTATTAACTTTTGTTCAGTAGAACCAATATACCCTTGCTGACAGCAGGTACAGGTAAGTTTATACACAATAAAAGAAGATTGAAGAGATGGAATTTGGTCCTTAAATTAAAAAAAAAACTAAGATGACAGTTAGATTTAAAAATGCACCATTCAACTGTATCTGTGGGTATATCTTTTGGATTACATTTTTTAACTAACTTTTAACAATCAAAGAATATTTACCCAAACAAGGTAAACTAGTAACCATAATGTTTTTAGATACATCGTAAGACAATAGTTAGGTAAAAATTCTTTATACAAAATCCTGGTAAGGAGATATTTAACTATCTGAAGTATGTGCTTAATTGAAAAAAGTTATTAGCTCATAGTTTAAAGTTTAGTGTCAGGTTTTTATGTATATATATAAGTAAGATTCTTTACAGTAGGTGTCTGAGACTTGTTGGCAATAAATTTCAACAATAAACAAACAGCACACAGTCCACATGTTTTAAAGTAATATATTAAAACTAGTCAAATATATATATACAGATGTTTGTTACACAATCAATTACCACAGTTGTATCCAGAGCTTTAAATAATCATCTCTGTTTGTCTAAGTCCACACAGGCTGGTTCAGTTTCTTTACAACACAATGGACAAGATAAATTATTCTACTCTACTCTGTTATTACAACACAACCTGTGATACTCTCACTTTAGAAATCACCACAGTATGCTCTTTATGGCTAAACTCACAATCATGCAATCTAGATCTAGCTATCTCTATTTAACTAACTTTGTTTAACTATATCCTTAAACTACATTTTATAAGCATATTTATAGCCTGATTGACGCCTAGAACTTTCTACACACTATGAGATATTATGATGCATTAATACTCAATCAAAACAATGAGAAAAATGTAGAAGGTTCTAGTAACCTGACACAATAATAGAACAAGTGTCAATTCACAACAGTTAAATTACACTACATATGATTCGAAAACAGTTACATAAATGAACCTGCGATTAGACCATAGATTCTAAAAATAACTAAATTTAACACTCATGCTATACCTAAACCATCTAAATCATAACACTCGCATTAGCTTGAATAGTTGTGTATATCTAACATTTAGTATTCCTAACAGAATTAAATTTGAAAATTACTTTTCTGAATTTACAAAAGTTTTACAAATATTATCACATCAATGTATTTAGAGTCAATTAGGTCAGTCTTTTAGTAACGTTAGAACTGAAATTATCAGTCTAGCCCTGACTGCATTTAATAATTATAATAATAACTACAATCATTTTTCAAATTTATGTTCAAAATAATTTGAAGCCTTAAAAAGTATTAGTAAAAACAATAGTATTGTTATTTATAAATCTGATAAAGGGAATAGTATTGTCATTTTAGTTGAAAATGAATATTTAAGAAAAGCTGATTAAATTGTAAGTGATTTTTCTAGATTTGTGGAATTACAATATGATCCTACTGATAAAAGGGAGACTAAGTTAAAACAGTATTTGTTACCATTGAAAAAAGATAGCACTCTTAATGAAGGACAGTATTGGAATATTAGACCATCAGGAAGTCATCCAGGAATCTTTTGATGGTTACCAAATTTCATAAAAAATTATTCCCCTTATGACCTATAGTATCTAACATTGGAACGTATAATCATTCTTTGGCTGGTTTTTAGTAGACTTTTTACAGAAATGTACAACAAACGAATACATATTAAAAGATAGTTTTGAGTTTTGTCATGAAATCCAACAACTGGAGTTTAATATTAATATTCACTGTGATAGTTTTGATCTTGAATCACTTTACACCAATGTACCATTGGAAGAGGCAACACAGCTATGTTTAATGTGAAGTTTATCATAATAAAAACTTTTACTGGACTGTATTTTTAATTTGAGTCTTATTCCCACTGTTTGCAAAGAGAATCTAGTTAAAATACTTTTTCATCATGCTTAGGAGATATCTAGCATATATGATAAATTACATAAAAGAATTTTTGAACATCAAAGAATTATTATGTAAAAATGATTTTCCGAGTTATTTCGTTAGTAGAATACTTCATTGTGGTTATCAGTTTACCCTATATAGTTAAATATTCTGTCAGAATTTAAAATATAATCCTTTTGCCAATTGTCAAAATAAAAGGTTTTTACTTATACTTCTTAATAGTATAAATATATACTATGTTGTTATTGTTGGGTTTTGGATTTTTCTGCAGTAAGTGTGTGTGACTTGTTAACTATAAATTCAATGATTAATGAACAGCACACACTTCACTTGTTTTTAAAATAATATTTATATTTGAACAAGTTAAACATATGTACAACCAATTCTTCACACTGTAGATATTACAGGCATATGATAAACACTGTATATATAATTCTCTACTTGTTGTCAAAAGTCCACTTAGGCCTATTCAATTACTTTAGTACAACTTTATGTACAACCAATTCTTCACACTGTAGATATTACAGGCATATGATAAACACTGTATATATAATTCTCTACTTGTTGTAAAAAGTCCACTTAGGCCTATTCAATTACTTTAGAATTTCAGTTGACAAGCCGAAACATTCTTCTCTACTACTATCTCACTAGTATTTTGTGTGTGATTCACATACAATTGTGGTGTGAGTTACCATAATCGTATGGTTTTCTTTCTTCAAAATATTCTCTGTTCCTTTTGTTTTAGTGCACTCATGCTGATTCAATTAATTTAGAACCACGCTTTGATGGAATAAAGTATTTTTCTTATCTTCTTTTCTGCTGTTAGTCTTACTCTAACATATTAAACATTAGGCCTATCACTTCTATGGTAGTTAACTTCACTCCGAACTTTTCCTTGCCCATAACTTTACTCTCTTCTGCTATTGTCTGTCTGCTGTTTTCGCTCATCTCACACTATGTTTATCATTTAATTGTCTGCACACCTTCTAGATATCTCGATAGTCTCAACGTCAATGAATTATAAACACAGCTTCCTACAATCGTCTGATTTTAACTCTTATTATAACAAAACTAAACAATAATAAAGTATTCACTCATAAAATAAATTAATCAATTATATCTAAATTAAACAGTCTTTTATATTCTGAAATATTCTTTGATTATTAAATCCGTTGAAAGATGTCATCTGCAGGGTATACCTGCAGATACAGGTGAGATGCATTTTTAAACTTAATTGTTGCCTTAGTTCTTTCTTTAAATTTGAGGACCAAATTCTGTCTCTTCAATCTTGTTTTGATATGTATAAATTTACTTGTCCCTGCTGTTAGTAGGGGTATGTTGGTTCTACTGAAAGTTAATAACTGGTATAAAAGAACATACTAATGCTAGATCTTTACTTAAGTCTAACATACAAATACATGCCCTAGGTGAATGTGACATACCTGCCCATTCTGATTTGTTTAAGATCTTGACTTGGGCCAATGATGAATAAAGCCTGTGTTTTAACTCTTTCAGTACTGTGCACTCTTTAACTCTTGTTACAGAACATAACTGACATAATTCTAAAGATATGTAGTTTCAGAAAAATAAAGTACTCAATTTGATATTTTCTACTATTTCTACCAAAAATTTGATATTTATTGTAGTTATTTGCACTCAGACTCTGAATAGTTCAAGTGCAGAGGATTTTCATGTTAAGTATAAAAATACTTTTTTTTTACCTTACAGTTTTCAAATTTCATATGCATAACCTCTGGAACCTCCTAAATGAATATCAAAAGTTTTTTAAAGTTAAATGTTTATATTTTATTTTCCATTTTCTTTATAATATCACTAACTGTAGCTATTACCATCAATGTTTCAAATTAAGAAATAGAAATATGTACATAACCTCGTAACTCTTCATGGAATAATTTTAAAATATATTTTGGTTATATTTTAATTTCAGGTCTTTAACTTTTCACTTATAGTTTGTTTTTAATGTTTTATTTTCCTTTCCTGTCCTTTACGGTTCATTATTCATCTCAAAACATGTCAACTGGTGTTCTCGGGGCATACTACAATATCTTTGGCAGAGACGGGCAAGCCTTCGGCAAACCAAGGCAAAGTTTGGGTTATATTTAAAAAAATATTAAACCTTTCAAATATGCATTTTAAAACATAAATAATACATAATTAACTCAAATATAAAAGTAAAACCTAAATACAATTTAACTTTCTATCAAACTAATATGTATAAAGGGGAGGAACAATTATGAATGTTAGTGATGGCCAAACTACAAAAATGCTTGAGTGGTTTGTTGCACTTTTTAATAAAGACTACTGCATGCTAGTTTAAAATAACCATTGAGAGATTGTAGATTAAAATCAGCTCTTTCTATGGGTTACAAAGATGTAGCTTCTAATCTCAAGTCTTTGTATAGAAGGTGGGCATAGCCACTGTCAGGAGTGACATATTATATACATTTCTTCTGTTCTGAATTCACCCAAATGAACTTGAAACTTGGAAGGGTAAATAGGGCTGTAGGAGTAGAATTTAGCCTAGACATTCTGGTACACTAATACATGTGCTGTTATTCAAGTAATAGAGACAAAATTTTAAGACCCTTGAATGCTTGTGTCGTGTGACAAAAAACTGAAGTTTAAGTATTTTTTAAGGCTTCTTTTGAAATAAAGGAATTAAAACTTTGAATTATAACACACACATGATAATGCTAATTTTATTAAAATACATTGGTAGGAAGTGCTTTAATTAAATTTTGAATATAACTCATTAAAACTTCATGATATATGCAAAAATGAGTTTAACTCTCTTGCAATGGGCTTGTGTTTTTTACACGCCTTGTAACCCTCAAGTAACCATGGTGGTATACACACTATGACTATGAAGGTACTTAATAATGTTCACAAAATATGGGAAGCTTCTAATAAGCATTAAAAGTCTTTTGTAAACAAAAAAAATTCAGAATTTTTTATTAAGTATTTTTACTAAAACTTTCTGTTTAATTATATTGTGTCAGGGTGTTGACTGCTCCAAGTACAAAGTGAATTTAATATTAAGATTAAAGGTACTTTTTTTGATTTGAAAATTTTCAAATTTCGTTTGCATAATCCCTAAAATCTTCTAAATAAGTATCAAATGTTTTTTCAAGAAAGTCTTGTATTTTATATGTTATTTTCTCTTCCATAACACTATACAAGGTTGGTGAATTTGACTGACCTCATAACCACCCCAAAAAATTTAAATAAATCTAAATTCTAATTTTTTTTCTTTCTAGAATAACTTCAAATTTTAACATGAAATTTGATTTGTTTATTCTAAATAGCTATAATTTGCAACAGTATGCATCTGTCTATACTTAAATTTTATTGTTTTATTGTCCTTTGAACCGTGTATAAACTGATATTCCCACCATAAAATTTTTAACTACTTGACAAATGTGCAGCTCACATTACCCTATCAAATTACATAACACACGAGCTACTCATGAGATGCTCGCAAGCGTACCTCGTGAACTATTTTTTTTTTCTTCTTCTTCTTTATTTTACCTGATCTAACCTAAAAAGTTCCTAATTTTTACATTTTAGTTACTTTTATAATAATAATTATAGAAGACACGTGAATAACAAGAAATAAATTACTTATTCCTGGTCATTGTCTTCTTTCTGCTGCTAACTGTTGATGACACTTAAACCTACTTTTTATACTAATGGTATTACTGCAATAAATAATTTATTTAAATTAAATAATGCTTCAAAGAACACAAAATAATTACATGCAAAAAGCAGAATATGTCCCATAACTATCACAATTATTCTGGCTATTCAAATATGCAACAAGAGCCATTAGAAATTCAGCTAAGCTCGTCAATGTCTTTCCCATGGGAATTAAGCTTGAACTGGAAGTGAAACTGACAATCATCTGTGCAGAAAACAACATAATATAATGAGTCATTTGATAGATTGAAACTTTGGCTTTATATTGGTTATAATATTAAATGTCAGAGAGAACATTTAGCAATTTGTGAAAGAGAGGATATGGCAGGTGGGATCTCATTTTCTAGTTTATAAATCTGAAGCCAAGTAAGATAGGCTAGAAAAATTATGTTTTGCCTGAGCAATAACTGTATTGTAATGAGTAATTTATGTTGAAGTCCAAGGTTCTCAGGGGGTAGTAAATAAATTGAAAAAAGGAGAAGACATAGATAACAAACGTCACAGTTCTCATACTAGGGGAAGATTGATTTTTTTTAATATTTCCATATAAAATTAAAAACTTAAAACTTAAATAATATTAAAATTTGGTTTATTAACTGTTTTGATACCAAGTGTATTCGTATATATTGATAGTAAAATAGTTTAATTAAATTTTGAATGTAACTCTGTGAAAGGTTATGACATGCACTTTGACCTACAGGATACTAATTGATGCTAATAGGTAATTGATTATATCGATTAATCAAGGTAATCACCCAGCTCTAAATGTAAATGTCTCCCTGGTGTAGGTCAGTGATAAGTTTACAGTTTTACAATGTTAAGATCTGGGGTTAAGTTTCTTGCAGTGGACTGAGTGCAGATAGCCCATTGTGTAAATAACATTAAAATAACGAACAGCAACAACAGTAAGATAAATAGACTGTAAAGTTGTATGATGTTCAAAACAACTTAGTCAAAAATCAACTTTAATACCAACCAAAATAAACTTAAATTAAAAAGGGAATGTTGGTGAATTATCAAGCTATTCATCTCTAAGCCTTCTCCAAGGTCATAGTGTGAATGAATTATTGAGAATGTTTTTCCTGTAAGTCAATGACGATTTATGTTTTCATGCAGAAAAACATATCACTGAATGAAAAATTCAGTTTGTTGCTTATTAAAACAGTTGTACAGCAGGTTGTGTTTATTTGCTGCTATTCATAAATAGTTTTTCTGTAAAATTGTGGCAATTATCTAAAAATTATCACTAAGAACATTTTTCATATCATGTGAATATTTGAATTAGGTAATCAAATAAAAAATAGCTAAATAAAAAAAAATGATCCATTCTTTTTAGAAGATGTTGCAAGTAAACTGTGTTCACTTTTTAGTTTTTAAATTAAAATAGTATGTCTTAAGATTTGATTCAAATGGTTTAGTTTTAGTAATAAGGTTATTTACATTTGGGGTCAGAAGTCATCATTTTATCTTGCTATATTAATACAGCTGTTTATGTAAAGGTGGTCTTTAAGAAAATTGTTTGTTTTTTTCATAGCAGAGATATAGTTCTATTGTGCTTGAACTGTAATTAGCACCCATGATGATATTTATTCATATACAGCATCTTTCTATAAAAATGTGTTCTTTGTCTTGCTTTTTTTTTGCATTGGTTGTCACATGTTGAAAAAAATGTTTGCAACTGTGATTTCAGGCTAATAAGATAAACATTATTTCAGTTATAATGTAATACATACTTTTCTAGACAAGTTGCTCATTTCTCTTTTATTAGGTAGGATGAAAAATAGACAAACACTAAAACAGTTATGAGTATTGCTTTTTTTTTCTATTTTTCATGTTTGAAATGTACAGAAATATATATAACCCATTCAGATATGGGAGTTGAAACATTTTTTTAGAAGATCAGTGTAATCCTAATCAGCTAATACGGGTGAATTTTCTATCTGCTTTCTTTCATAAAGTAAGTTAGAACACTTGAAAAGTATTCATGTATTTGAAGATAGAACTAACTGTTCAATGACAAAAGAATGTTTTGGAATTTGTTATTTAATTACAGTTAAATGTCACTATAATGTACAATAATTAATGATTGTCCTCGAATTATTCCAAAGGATCAACCTAAGATTGAATTTTTAGGAAAATGAAAATGGAAACCTTGGCCTTAAATGAAACTCAATGTTATTGTCTAAACCTTATATAGTAACTAAATCAAAATGTGATTAGTTACAATTTAAAAACTTGCAAGTTGTTAAAGTAACATATTCATAGAATTTAAAACTTATATTGACCAAATGCCAATAATTTATCAAACTTCACATAAAGTATTGAGGACAGTTATATTAAAACAAAGTTTTTTAATTGATAAAACAAAGTAGGGCATGTGTAATTTTTTTTTTAATAAACTTGTAAAGTATAAAAATATAAGAGAAAATACAAGGAATTTATGAATTTTTTTTCACTGGAACTAGGCTTAATTAATCACAGTGAATCATTATTAGGTAGATAACTATAAATCTAATGAAAACAAACGGAAAATAGTTATTACTTTTTGGTAGCTTGCCTAGAAGTTTTTTCAGGGTTTCTAGAGGCTCATCATTCAAAATGCTTTGAGTTTGTAGGCTCGGTAAATAAATGAAGTAATTTTACTGCTGTTTTAGTTAGTGTAGTTTAGCAATTTAATTTTTTTATGTTTTCTCATTAAATGATTATTAATTATTATTCTTTATTTATATTTCTCTCATTGTTTTTGTTTGGAAAGCTCAGAGAAGAAGTCTCATTCTGTTGAGTGAAGTTTGTTTTCCAGCTAGTTTAACTTTACTGGGTGGTCCCAACTACTGTTTGTTAGTACATTAACTTTCGTACTATACAAGTTAAACATCAAAATAAACTCTGTAGAGAAACTTGTATCAACATTTTAGTATAATTTTCTTTATATTCAGTAGTCTCCTTTTTTTTTAAATGTTGACCATTTCATTATTGTGTGATTTTAATATCATTTATTAAAGTTCAAGGATTATTACAGACCTATGTAAGATATTTCTTATTTTTCTAACCTTTCTAGTAACACCAGGCTTGGAAGTTTCCTGGCTAGGAGAGGAACAACATCATGAATGGGCAACAATGGGGTTTATTCGTGGTATAGCTGTCAGCACTAGCATATGCCATGCTCTTAGTAATCCTGCTTGGATTTCACTTTTATTTAAAATTATTTCTGGAGCTCAGCAGACTGTTAGTCTATCCACTCAGGTTGGCTCCTGTGATCTTTCTGTTGTTTCATATTGTTTATCAAAAAATATATATTATTGTGAATTGGCTATACTAAACTACTGAAGTACATTACAAAAAAAATATATTAGTAGTTACTGGTTTAAGTAATGTACACCTAGTATGATAAAAATATTAAATTTCTGTATACTGAGTAATCTAAACTTAATGTATATGAAATGATTTTAGAATATTTCAGAATTAATAGGTGCATATCATTAAAAAGTGCATAATCTAGTTTTTTTTTTATCTAAGATGAAAGTTGTTTGATTAAAAACTTGCACCATGACAGATTTAATGGTCAGAAGATAAAGTCAAAATCTCATAAATGTGTGTGTGTGTATTTTAATTTTTTCTTCATTATATTACTACTATTTTTCTTTATCTCTCCTTACACACCATTAGATTTTTACAAAATATTATTTAATGCCACTGAAAATTACTGAGAGATACTGAAAACAGTTCATATATGTTATGCTCTGGGTGAATCCAAAGCTAAAATAAACAAAATATATGAAATTAGATTTTTTCTTGTTAACTAGTTTTCTAGCTTTTGTTGCTTGATATTAATATAACTTCTTCAATTTACTGTTGAATTTTATATTTCAATATTTTATTACTGTGTAAAAAAATTGAAAGCTCTGAGACAGAGCTTTTAATTTGTGCTACTTAGTTTCTCTTCAAGATTCAAGCCTTGAGGCTACTGCAAACCATTTTACCAACTTGGATTCAGGATACCTACTCAGCAGAAAGACACACAATTGTAACTCAGTTGTGTACATTATTGGGTCAGACTCTAGTATCTTGTGCTACAGATCCTGCTCTTCAGTCTGTAGGTAGGTTGTGAAAGGGCTATTTTTCATTTGATTCATTCCATAGGGTTTACTGTGGCAATATTTCTGTGTCATTAACTCCCAGTCATGTATTACACTGGAATTCCATTTATCCATATGCTTTTGGATACAAGGGTTTGCATACATATGAAATCTGCAGACAAATGAGGTGTCTTTGTGTGTGATTAGAACACACTGATAAAATACAGAAAAAATGATCTAAACTAAAACATTGTCTGTAGTAGCTGCAAAGACAAAAGAATGCTTTAAAATGAGTTTAATTTTACATTACTTCATTTTATTACATTTTAAACAAAATATGTATCTATGAAAACATTAGTACTTTTATTTAAGAGAAGTGTATTTTTTTCTGTAATTGTATTGCCAAAGTTGTATTTATTTCATGAGGTATTAAGTAATTTATTGAATGGAGCATGCATCTTTTATTGTTTGAATTGCTCACATGCACATAAGGTCTACATTGGCAATACAATACTGTTGAAGCTCAATAAGGGAAGGAGGCTATGGATGAACAGGATTCAGATAAATGAGGTTGTACTGTATGTGCTCTGAAGTAATATTTGTTGTGATTTTTATCATTTGGAACTAGTAAATAATATGCATTTTACATTTTAGATAAGACTAAATATGAAATTGATAATGTTTTGTGACAAAACAATATCAAATTAAAATTTTAAGAATTATCATAAAGGCTATGTGAGATTTTTGTTTTTAAGTCCTAACAGACTTGGAATATTTAGTAGACATGATTACTTTTAGCACTACTTTAGTAGCAGCTGTAAGACAACTTGTATTCTTTAACCTTTGAGTCACTAAGTCTGAGACTAGGAATGTTATAGTAGTTGGCATGCTAGAATGTGGATCTAAAGGTTCATGTTCTGTTGCTTCCAAATTATGCTCTGCATTTTGGGGCCCATGGGTGCATTATAAGAGTGACAATGAAATCCTATTAAATTTGTTGATGTGTGCTGTTGACTACTTGCTGTTCTTCTAGTCTATCAGTTCAAAATTAGGGATGACAAGCACGCATGTCCCTTCTATCGCTTTGTACAAATATGTGAAAGAAAGAAAGAAACACTAAATTTGTTGTTTTTTAAACTGTTTCTTTGATAATTCTGTTACTCCAGTTTCCTTTTCATTGTCACATCTCGGAGATCTAGAGCACTTGACATTAGTTTCAGATTGTAGTACAAGAAAGAATGCTCTGATTGATTTCTCAGAAAGACTTTCTTCTGCAGGAGAATAAGGGTTCATGGAGATAACAGCTCCACTCACAATCAGCAAAGTTTGTCAAAGTCTTTATGTACATTTTGGCCACATGTGCCAAACTGGATACCTTATCTTTAACAAATGTTAAGATCTGATCTCATATGTGAATTGGACCAATTTGACCCTTGTGCTACAGGCAAGTCGAAGTGTGCATGTCATGAATTTTTAGAGTTACATTAAAATTTAATTAAACTACTTTATTATTATGGTTTATTATTATTTATTATACAAAAGTATAACCTAACATTGTTGTTAGTCTATGTATTGAAAGTATAAAATGAAATGTATAGACAACAAATCAACAATATTTGTTGATTAAACAGGTGTTTTTTATTAAAAACATTGGTTTTTGAGAAATGATTTGACTTTAAAATTGAATCAATAATTGTACTTTCATTGTACATTTTATGCACTTGGCTCTAGGCTAGGCGATCCCACACCACGTCTTTACTATAGGTTTATTATACCAACACTCTCTACACTTATAAGGTTTCATGGCACCATCACCTCTCTTGCACCACTGTCACTAGAATCATAACAGGCATACAGTAATTGAACTATTCTATCTGGATAAATGCATTTTGGATTTTATGATTCCTCCTATTTTAAGAAATCAAGTATGATGTGATGCAACACGACACACACTGGTTTTTATATAGGTTAGATATTTAAAACTAGTATGAGAATTTTGTCATTTGTTCTCTAGGTCTTTCCTCTTCTCTAACTTATTTACCACTCCTCCAAGACGTATTGATTTTAACAAAAATTACTCATTAAATTATAGTTTATACTCGGGAAAAGCATAATTTTTATATTCTTCAATCTTATTTGTCTACAGAGCCATAAACTAGAAAATCAGACCTGCTTGCCATGCCCACATGTAACATCCTCTTTCACAGATTCCCAATAGTTCTTTCTGATGATCAATGATATATAATTTATAATCAATAGAAAGAAAGCAAGAGTTTAATCTATCAATTGATGTGTTATATTGTGTTGTTTTCTCTACAGAGAATTGTCCATTTTGCTTTCAGTTCAAACTTTATTCACATGGGAAACACATTGACGTCCTTAGCTCAATTTTTAACGTTTCTTATCGCATAGTTAGAAAGACAGAAAAATTATGATAGTTATAGGGCATTGTCTGGTTTTTGTTATTATTCTGTGTTCTTTGGTGCATTACTTATTTTGATAAAAAATTATTTATTGCAGTAGTACCATTAATATAAAAAAGTAGGTTAAGTTTCAACGACAGTCAGCATAAAAACAAAAAACAAGACCCAGGTAAGTACTATGTTTCTTATTTTTCATGTGCATTCTTTATTATTATTATAAAAGTAACTGAAATGTAAAAATTAGAAACTAATTAGATTAGATCAGATAAGATGAAGAAAATATAATAATACAAAATTTCCCCGAGGTACACTCATGAGTAGCTCTTGCATTACATAATTCGATAGGGTAATGTGATCTACACATTTGCACAGTGTCTTACAAATTTTGTGGTAGGATTATTAGTTGGACACAATTCAAAGGGCAATCAAACAATAAAATGTAGGTAGAAACAAATGTATACTGGTATGAGCTTCAAACTATTTAGGATAAACAAATGTAGTTTCCTGTTACAATTTGAAAAAAAAGTAATTTATTTTGTATTTTTATGGTGTTTATGAGGTTGATCAACCTTGTATAGAGTTAAGGTAGAGAAGATAACAGATAAAATAGAAAGTTTTACTGAAAACAAACATTTGAAATTTACTTAGGAGGTTTTAGAGATTGTGTAAATGAAATTTGACAAGTTTCAGATGAAGAAAAATATTTTTAATGTTAACATGAAAATCACTTTGTACTTGGAGCAGTCAACACTTTGACTCCATATATTCACTGAGAAATTTTTTGTTTACAAAAAAATCTTAATGCTTACTAAACTTGCAAAATTTTGTGAGGATACACAAAACATATTAGAAGTTACAATATGGAAAAGTTGGGATCAGGAACACAGCCGAATTGACAGAGCCAGCAGTGAGAGAGTTAATGCAATGCATTATAAATTTGAGGTTGATCGCAAGTAAACTAGAAGCAAATAAGAAACACAATATGAATATAGTACTTTTTCCGTGAAGGCAAATTTGAAAAAAAATACATACATTTTTTGAACTGTCTTTAGTCAGGAGTTGTTTCCACTTTTTTTCCTGTAATTTTGGAATCACTGAAAACTCTATGGAGGAATGCCTACTTTTGTTGTTAAATATTGTTAGATTGGTAAATCAGGATTTGAAAAGTTTTTTAGTTTCCAAAATGATTTTATGGATATGGGTGGGTCAAAATGTGCAAGTCACAACCTTTGCTAATTAAACTACATTATTATCAGTATATGTCAGTAAGCTTGGCATCAAAACTTAATTGATAATTCAAAGTTTATATTATCTAAGATTTAATTTCAAAATAAAATATTTAAATGAATTCTCGCTCTTAGAGTCAAATGACTTTTTTGGCATTGTTACTTCCCATTTATAGAATTTTATCTTCTTTTATAAGGGCCTCAGATATTTTTCAACCAATTAGAAACACATGTGATAGGTATTTATGAGCCAGAATTTTAAATTTCAGCTTGTTGCTTTATTTGAGATATGACTATATATATTTAATGCATATTAACATGCCCCTTCCATATCTTCTTGTCTTTTAGAAATGTCTGTAATTCTCTCTGACATTGCTATTGGATACTTTTATAACCACAGAATGAGCAAATTCTACTCTATGATTATCTATTTTGTCTTAGCAGTGAAAGCCAATAATTTGCATGAGAGCTTGATGTATTTGGACTGAAGATACTGCTTTGAGAAGTAATTATAGTAGTTTTTGGACACTCTAATTTAGTGTCTGTAACATTTCTTGTCTTTTAAAATGCATACGTGAAAGGTACCATATATCGCAGCATATAAGTCAATTTTTTTTAGGACAGCATGTTATTCCAAGAAAGGGGACTCGACTTATACAACGGATTAAAATATCTTTAGGGAAATTCTAGACACCCTCTGAACAATACTCTTCATGCAGTCTTTGTTTTAAAATGTTAGGAAATGATCTTATAAAGGCTGCAATGTGCATTCTAGTTGTCATTTTGGTGATATATTCAATGGCTGAATGTCAAAATGCCTCCAAGATGTATGAGATACAAAGAAAAATTCAAGATTCAAGTCATGAAATTTGCCAAAAAGACAAACTGTGCTGCAAGTAGGGAATTTGGCATCAATGAAAAACTCATCCATGATTGGTGAAAACAGATAGGGAAAATTCAAAGTCTGTCAGGAATGAAGTGTGCTGCTCAGGGATGAAAAACTCATTTCTGATCTGAACTATAAACAAACCTCATGAAATGGGTTGATTGACTAAATCTATTTAGACACACTAAACAATACTTTTCATGCAGAGCTTTTGTTTTGAAATTCTAGGAAATTACCTTATAAAGGTTTCAATGTGCATTCTGGTTGTTGTTTTGGTGATATATTCAACAGTTGAATGTCAAAATGCCTCCAAAATATATGATTTATGAAGGAAAGTTCAAGATACAATTCGTGAAATATGCTGAAGAGACAAACAACTGTGCTACGAGTAGGGAATTTGGCAAACACAGGTAGGGAAAATTCTAAGTTCATCAGGAATGAAGAGTGCTGCTTGGGGATGAAAAATTTGTTTTAAACTGATCGTAACAAGAAACCAGTTAATGCTACAAGCCAAGGTATAAGTCAAGAAGAAGAATATTTATGGCTTTCTCCTCATCAGAGCTTGTGTAACAATTTCATGAAGCTATACAACTTAGTCCTATGATAAAAAACTGTGCTTGCCCAGTGATTGAGGATGACAGTGATCCCATGGAGGAATGTGATTTCCCAATGATCAGATAAGTTAAAGTGAATTCAATGAACTTTTCGTCAATTCAGATTGTGAAGAAGAGGACTGAAGAACTTTGTCAATGCTGCTAAATAAATTTTATAGGAAACATTCCCTGTAAATAATCCATCTGTCTTTAGAAATATATGTATAATGTACAGACTTTCTGCACAATTTTGGGAGTAGACTTATATGAAAGACAGTGATTAGAAAATTACAGGATATTTTGGCCTATGTTTATATGCTGCAGTATATGGTACATGAATTATGTTTGGACAACCAACATAGTGAGCAGAATTAGAAAATTATTGGGTTGGATAATAAAACTTAAAGGAAAAGAATAAATGAATAAAAAAATTTCTGCAAGAAATACATGTGAGCTGCTATCTGTCTACATTATGTAACTCAGTACTTTGTTTATCATAAATTGCACTACTCTTTCACTGGGTGATTTTTTTTATTTGTTATAGTAGTTAGACATGATTAAAAGAGCAATAAAACAAGAATATTAAATATTAACAGATGTACACTGTTATGAGCATTAGGCTGTTTAGGATGAATAATTGTAATTGTATATTATAATCTCTAGTAATTCTACAAGGAAATGTATTTTTGATTTAATTTTTTTCAACTATTGCTACAGTTAGTATTAAGGTAGAGAAAAAGATAAAATATAAACCTTCACCAAAAACAACTTTTGATATTCATTTAGGAGGCACTAGAGGTTATACAAATGAAATATGAAAACTGTAAAATGAAAAGTATTTTTATTCTTATCATGAAAATCATCTTTCATTCAGAGTGACTCAGCAAAGGCTTTGTAAATCCTCAGACACATCTTTAGTTGAAATACATTATTAAAATTTCAGATTTTTTTTATGGTGCACAACAGACTTTTCACATTTACTAAAAGCTTTTCAAATTCAGAATTATAATATACATTGATTCTCCAATATGACATCAGTCCAATGAACTGACCCCATACACATAAGGATAACCAGGTTTGACTCTGCTGTTTGGATTAAAATGTATAAATAATTGGTGAAGATTGCTACCAAATAACATATTCTCAATGGGCATCCTTTACTGTGTATAACATAAGGTTTTAGTGTCTTACATTCAATATTTTACTAAGCTACTTTTTGTTCATGTTATACCAATTAATATGGCATAAATGCTTAGCTAATAATCCACATCTTAATAGTATATAAGTTTTAAGTTCTTAATTCTATAAGGAAATATTAAAAAAAAAATCCTGAACTTTCCCTAGTGTTACACACATACACATTTTCTCTAGGCATCTTCTCTTCTCTATGTAATCCACCACCCCTTCAAAATGTACAAAATTAAATAGAAAATAGAAAATCACACCCTTCCTGCCACACTTACCTGTCACATCTTCTCTTTCAGACTTTGTTAATAGTTATCTTTTACATTTAATTATATATTACTTATAACCAATAGAAAGTCAGGGTTTTCATCTATCAAATGACATATTGTATAACATTGTGTTCTGAATAGATAAGCATCACTTTCACTTGGAGTACAACCTTCATTCTCATGGAAAGTTACCGACTACCTTGGATGAACTTGTAGCGGCTCTTGTAACATAGTTAGAAAGCCAGAAAAATTTTGAGAGTTAGGAGAAATTGTCTACTTTTTGCATGTTATTAGTCTATGTTCTTTGGTTTATTATGTAATTAAATAAAAAATTATTTAATGCATTACTACCATTAGTATAAAACCACTAGGGTTAAGTTTCATTGACAATCAACAGCAAAAAAAACGAAGATTTGGTAAGTACTTTATTTCTTGTTTTTCAGGTTTATTCTTTATTTAATATTATAAAATATAAAAAATAAAACTAAAATATAAAAATAGGGATCTTTTTAGGTTAGTTAAGATTAGATTAGGTAAAATGAATAATGATGATAATAATATAATAAAATATATATATTTCATGAGGTACGCATGCCATCAGCATGTAGTAGCTTGTGGGTAATGTAGTATGATAGTGTAACGTGAACTGCACATTCCCCAAATGATTTAAAACTTATAATGGCAAAGATGGTAGTTAGACATGGTTCAAAGGGCAATAAAACAATAAAATTTAATTATAAATAGATGTATATTGTTTCGAGCTTAAAGCTACTTGGGATAAACGAATGAAGTTTCATGCTGCAATTTGAAGTCATTATAGAAAGAAAAAAGGGTAATATAGATTTATTTCGATTTTTTTTTTTTTAGAGATAGGGTAGATAAACTATAAAGTTTTACTGAAAACAAATGTTTGAAATGTATTTAGGAGGTTTTAAGGATTACACAAAGCAAATTTGAGATTTTTGAGATGAAGAAAAGCATTTTTAATTTTAACTTGAAAATAATATTCAAAACAAATACTTAATATATTCGGGGACAAATCTTCATTTCAGTTTATTACAAATACTTCAAAAATATATGATTTTTTGCATGTGAAAGACTTATAATGTCAAGTGAAATACTGCCAAATTTTGTGAAGAGATACACACTATATTGAAAGTTAGAAGTAGTCAATTTATGAAGCCTTTAAAGAGTATAAAGAGGTCATGTGGTTGGTCAAATTGACCAAGACTGTGTTCAGAGAGTTAAAGGGGTATTAAAGTTATGGCAGTAAAATTATACTTACTAAAACAACAAACCTAGAAATCTAGAAGAGTATGACAGATTTGATATAGAGATGAACTTATTGTACTTTGGCATTATTCTTTTAAGTTTGTGGGAAGGAGCTACTTTTTTTTTCTTCCTTTCTGTTTTATAAAAATAATATTTTATATAGGAGATAAAGATGTATGCTTACAACAATGGTATTTGTACTTTACAAGGATTGACGGCTTTAGGAAGAAAAATTGTTTTTAATCTTTTTTCTTCTTCTTCTACATGAAATATTATTATAATGTAGGACTAATATTTTGAAAACATTAGATCTTTTAAAGTAATTTATATAGAAGTAAAGCTTAACATAAAAGTGATTACATTTCTTCCATATGCTTTTTTGACTTAACATGGAATTGATTTTAAATTGTTTTTTGCACAGATATTGCAAGAAAAGGGAAACGTATGGCTCGAGCAAGAGTGTCTTTAACAGCCTCTCATTGTAGCACAGTAAGTGAAGAATGTGTCTCCTTATTACGACAGTTACATCTACAGCCTGCTTGGAATATTTGTATTAATGACTTCCTGTGTAGTCAGCTGACTCAACTTTCTGGCCAAATACAGCAGAGTATTGTTCAGGTAGAAAATATATTTTCTAGAAACCATTTGTAGTATGTAGCTGATTACACATTGTGTCTGCTGACTCATACTTAACAGAAAAGAGTTGCTGTGAATGAGCTAATAAAACAATGCAAAGCGTACAGTTCTTCACACTGATATTTTTATAATTTTAAGCATACTTACTGATTTAAGTTTTAAATATATATATATAGTTTATTATACTTTCACAAGTTGTCACAGCCACATAGTACATTACACAAGTAATCTTACTGATAATTTCTGTTAACTAAAATTTTTCATTTTCTTATTGAATTCTGAATGAGTACCCTAATGTTCATAGTTAATTCTGTTTACATGATTGAACTTGGTTTTAGAGCATTGAGATTACTTATTAAGTTTTATGATGTTAGAAAAACACGTAGGTTCAAGAAGTCTTGATAGAAATGAATAAAAACCCTATAACCCGAGCGCTTTCGAAAGGTGGACCTTTCAAAAGCACTCGGGTTATAGGATTTTTATTCATTTTTATTAAGTTTTAGATACTATGCGATTGGGTTTTTATTGCATCCTGTTAAAATAGTAACTTATCATACCATGACAAATAATTAAAGAAATAAAGTGTTAAGAATTATCCTTTATTATTTTTGCCATGTGTACCAATTTGATTATTCATTGGTCAGACCTGATGACCAGTTGCACGGTGGTTTTAAATTAGTAATTGCTTTAGCAATCAATACTTGGACTTGGGTTATCTATAATGGTACCATTATCTTAATAATTGTGCTACAATAATTTCAGGCCTCAAACATATACTTTTCTATTAGGATCATCTCAATTTGATACCATAATAATTTTGAATCTTTATACATTACACTTTATGGTTACTTAAACATTGGTGACAAAGGGATGTTTTGTTTGAGATAAAAATAAATTTTATCAAGAGACAAGAATAATTTACCCATGTTTTATTTGTTTTTATTTTCAGGTTGAAGAAAATATTTTTTACAGTGGTCACACTTTTAACCTGGCAGCTCTATCAGTGTTGGGTGGGGTTGATTCTCGCTTACGACTTGGTGGAACAGCATTAAATGTGGATGATGGTGTTGGTACTGTGGCACGAATATCACCCACTGGAAAAATCATTGTTCATAATCACCAAAAACAAGTTCTTATCAAATATCCACTTAATCAACTTAATCCTGTAAGTTTGTCAAATATAATTTTTTTTTAGCAGTATATCATTGTTGAAGATAAAAAGTTCTAAAAATATTTTCCAACAAAATAGTTTTGCATAAAGCTGCTGTGGCTGCTAAAGCTATATAAAGATAAAATTAGCATTCACCAAAAAAATTTCAGTATGATTTATGATGCTTAAGACTTTTACAAGTTTGTTTCTTCCATTTATTTATAACTTGAAATGGGATTCAGTCAGACTCAGTGCATCAGCAGAATCTTGGAAATTATGCTTCCGATATGGTACTTCCCACCCCTTGAATGATTCCAACATGTCTGTCATGTAAATCATCATGCATCACTTCTCCACCAATAAGAGCATGACATACTCATGTGATGCATGTGACTCCCTCTATACGCTTCTACCGAACTATCACTTCTTCTTTGACAGCACTTGTGCTCGGACATGTTCCTTGTTTTTTTAACATTTCATGTTCATTTTTAGTATATTTTCACGAAGTGGTCTTCATTTATTTTTCACTTCTAGTTATTATTAAGACTGTTTCTTAACTTCAAATTTAATTCCAGTTTATTACAGTTGTATTGTTATTTATTCTTTCTATTATTGGTACACTCTTCCTCATTATGAATTCCGAAGTTCATGTTACCACTTAGGTGGTTACAACTACAACTAGCACTATGTCTCAGGCCTCAGTTGCAGGTGATCTGACAGGGTATTTATTTACCGGGAGATTGAACGATATGTGGGTCAGCCTCTGACTCTGGACCTTGCCCCACTACCTCCAGAACAAACTGAGCCTGTTCAGGTGGACGAGGACTTGGATCACCCATTTACACCTCCTGATTTTACTGTGCCTTCCCGTGCCCTGTTTGAAAGTCAGTTAGGCTTAATATGGTCTTTTCGGATTTAGTTTCTCAGGTATGTGACGTTTTATCCCTTTCTCTTATTTCCTATGACCCACGTCCTTCCTTATTACCTGACTAATCTATCCATCTTTTTTATGTTGTCCCCTCCCCGGATATTCAGGTATATGTTGACTAATTGCCTCACAATTCCGTGCCGAGATTAGTATGCCTTGCCCCCCTCCTGCTGTTTGTTTTTGCATATCATCATGCAGACTATCATTTTTATGGACCAGCACTTGTTATGTCCATTTTTGGGGTGCAGCCCCTGAATCTCCTGTTTGTCTTACTCATGCCCAATTTCCTGCCTTTGTTTTACCCTCACACCTCTTTATGGTATCTTTTTACATACCATCTCTTTTCTGAGGCTCCCCACCAAAATCCTGAGGGGTTTTATGGGGACTTCCTCTTCCTTCTTCTTCCTCATTGGCTCGTTTGTCGTCTTTGCTTCTGGCTTTACATATGGGTTTTCTCTGTTGTTGGGACCTTCTAGGTCGTACTGGGACCTTAACTCGTGTCCATTTACCATCAACTTATCTTAGAGATTTATGTGGCTATATGCTCTTCACACAATCCTTGAGTCTTTGGAATCACAAATTGCATCAGTACAACAACAGTCTACCCTTTCCAACCTTGTTGCCTGTTTGTCAATGTCGGAGCCGAATAAGGCACTCGTTACCATTTTCTGTTCCTCCCCTTTCCAACTTTTACCTGTTCCTTCTTCTCAGGGTGCCTTGTCTTGTCGTTCCTGTGATGACACAAGTCACGTCGCCAACAGTATCGGTGACTACCCAGTGAGAACTCGGTTTGCCAGTTTTCTTTTTCACTGGCATTATTTTGTCATGAATCTTTGGGTTTTTCTAATTTTCTCAGAAGGATTCCTAATCCTGTCGTTTTCCCACCTCCCGTTCTTTCCCTCGGCCTCGGGATCCCATGACCAGCCAACATCTGTCAGAGGCAGTTCTGGGACTACTATGTCCACAAGCCATCGTATCTGTTCTACATACTTCACCATGCTTTTGTTCCAGACTCTCTGTAGTTCCCAAGCACACTGAGGGCTGGAGGGCTGTCATTAAATCCCCCCCCCCCAATCACTTTGTTCAATTGCCCCGTTTTATCATGGAGTCATTTCTTATCCTAGGGTGAGCATTTCTCTGGGCTTATGGATGACCAGGATGAACATCGCCAATACTTATCTCCATATCCCTCTATCACCACAGTCTTGTCTGTGTCTTCCATTCATCCATCACAGGATGGTTTATCACTTTTGCGACCTACCCTTCAGGTATGCTTCCAACCCTTATATTTTCTGTCAGATGGTCAGAGCTTTGCTCACCATATTCAAGCTCTTAGTTCACGATTCCACCATTGTAAGGACCGGCATCTTCTGGCTCCTTCTGAACAGAAGTCAGCCATCCTTACTTGTCAGCTCCTTCTAATGGCTGCTTGGTTAGACTGGTTCATGAAATTGGAGAAATCCTTCCTCCAACCTCCTCAATATCTCGTCCACTTGGGTGTCCCTTTTGACACTTAGCTCAATCAAGCTCACCCTTCTCCTCCACGACTTTGTTCCAATGAGCACTTATTTTGCCATGCCCTTTCATCTCCACATCCCCCAAAACAACAGAATTTCATGAGGTTTTATTGTTGTGGGAGATGTGGTCCTCAATGGCATCACTGGCCCCATTCAGTTGTGTGCATATGCAGTCCCTTCAGTGGGATCTTCACAATCCATGGAATATTGCTTGGGATCCCCTGTCAGCTCATGTTACCCATCCTCCTACCTGATGGACAACCAACCTGCATTGGTTGGACAAGGCCCATACGTCGGCGAGTGTCCCGCTTCCTCCTCCTCGTCCAGATTTACATCTTTTTGCAGACTCATCCCTTCAGGACTAGTGTTGCATGAGTCAATCATCAGGAGGCTTTGATCTTCTCATGGTCTGTCAGGCTTTGAATCACTTCCTTTCTTGCGCCAGAAATTGTCTCGTGATGATTCTTTCCAACAATGCTATGGTGGTAGCACATATCAATCCCCAAGGGGGCACCCAGTCAAGATATTTCTATTTTTGAATGCTGGATCTACTGTATTGGGTCTACATGCACCACATTCATCTCTTTGACATCACATACTAGGTGCTTTCCATCTCATGGCAGATAGTCTTTCCTGCCTCGTCATTATATGTCTGACGGAGTGGTTTTTTATTCCCTTGTGATCTCTCTCCTCCATACCACTCTGTACTGAGTCCTTCTAATTGCTCCTTATTGGCCAGCTCTACCATGATTACACAATTCCAACAACTGCAACTTTTCCCTCCAGTACCTCTTCCTTTGTCTCCATCCCTTCTTCGTCAATCTTGGTCACCGATATTACATCCAGTCTTTCCTGTCCTTTGTCTTCACGCCTGATTTTATCCAGTCCTTGGCGAGGAGATCAAGTTTTCTCCCATTGAGTAGCTTTCCTTTTAGCTCTTTCCATATGTACTTCTTCAGTGAAGGTATATCAGCACCTATAGAATGTGTTCCACAGCTGGTCTATGATTCGAGGATTCCCGCAGACCAACCTACTATGGATCGAGTGGCAAGGTTCTCACATGGCATTTTGACTAGGGGGATCTTTGGTTTTGGATCTTGCTCTTGGGTTTTCAGGCTTCCTTATCCCATACCTTTTGTTTTCCCTTTACCATCGTGTTTTTCCTCTACCTGTCCTTACCATGTTCCAGCATTGCTACCAGATTTGTCCTACCCCCTGATGGCCTACTTTTCTGGACTGGGATATTATGGTGGTCCTCCATTCCCTCACTTTACCTCCATTTGAACTACTTTCCTCATGTTTCATGTTTCCCTTACAACCTATTTCCTTCTCCTCTCAGCCTGTGGATGTTGAAGGTCTAATTCGTTTGCCATGGATGTTTCACGTACGCTTTACCACCCTATCTTCTCCTTTATCTGGATAGTTCCTTCCTTTCAAAGACCACGGCAGCTAGGGAGGGTAACTATTCCTTTATGCCTATTCCCATCCATATATTTCTCATCTCTACCCTTCTTCTGATCCAGATAGGCTTTTCTGTTCAGTCTGTATTCTTTTTTTATATTGCCCACAGGTCTTCCTTCTGTGGTACCTGTTCCTGGCTCTTATCCCTTTGCAATTTTTCTCTGTTCAAGATCTTTCCCCTTTTATCCTCACCAGTTGGGATTGTCTTTTGATTTGATTGGCTTCGTCCTTTTGTCTTCCTCCTCTCACAATTTGTTCCAGGTGTCTTCTCATCAGATTCGAAACCTCACCTTTTCCCTTGTCTCTTGGTCATTGGAAGAAATCTTACAGTTGAACATGTGGACTACACTCAATACGTTCATCCTCCATTATTTACATCATATTACAGTTTCTTCTTCATCAGGTTTTCATCTTCCACCTGTGCTTTTTCTTCCATGGCTTTGCAATGCTCACCTTTGAGATGGGGTGTTCCACAAGATCACTTGTAGGTGAATAACCTCGTGATGTACTTGCTTCATAAACTTGTGCATTCTGGACTGTACCACCTATGG